CGGCCGCCGGCCTTGCAGCTCCACTGCCGAGCCCCATGAGGGGCCCAGCGGTGGACCTGCAAGGCCGGCGGGAGTGCAAGGAAGCTCTGCAAAGGAAGGCCCTCCCTGGCCCCAGGCAGGCAGGGGTGGGGAGAGGCAGGGAGGAAGCAACTTACCCTCCCTCTTCTCCTGCCTCCTCCTGGCTGAATGAGGGCCGGATGTAGATGGTGGTGGGCGGGTTAGTTGCCAGGAAGAGCTATTCAGAGTCAAGAGGCATACGTTTCAGTTTCAGTTTCCAATTTCAGCTCTGCCTTTGCATCTGGTCTCTGAGCGGCCCTCCTAACGGCTTACCCCCCCCCACCCTCTTTTCCCCTGTAGCCAGCTTTTGAGGCTTCATTCCAGTTTTGTCTGAAGAAGTGTGCTTGGCAGACGAAAGCTTACCCTTTGAAAAGAACCCCGTTGGTCTCAGAGGTGCCCCTGGACACAGACTTTGTTCTGCGGCTTCTGACCAACGTGGGGACCCGACTGAAATCTATGCTCAAAAACAAACTCGAAACGATGAAAAACCAAAACCGCATTGCCTGGGGTGGCTATCTTAGATTTCCCAGCCATGTTGCCGTTTTGTTTAAAAGAGCGAAGGATGCCAAAAATGCTCTCTTAAAGACCTTGGGAGCGAGGCAGGGCCCGGAGGCCTCCCGCCATGACAAGCACACCCCCAGAGACTATAGAGATCAGTTCCTCCGGAGAGAAAAGACGGCTGCTTTGGAAGGGGGATTATACGGCGCTGTAGCCCGTGGGGGGTCCCTCCCCAAACCTTTCCCTCCTCTCACTCCAGCCTCAAATCTCCAGGGATTTCCAGATCCAGAATTGGCAACCCCAAGGCCACTTTTGAGAGCATTTGGGGGACCACCTTGGATTGGACTTCTAATGGCAAGAGCTACCCAAAGCTTGTGTTTTTTCGGGTTTTTAAAAAATAAAATAAAATCCGTCTTTTTTTATGTAGAAACCATAGTTGGACCTTTGTCCCTGTGAACCGGTTGCCCACAGTTTCCACCATATTCCCTCCTGTCCCCTATAACTCACAGCAGACAATCTGTTAGCAGTGTCATATAACTTGGGGTGCCCAAGGACACCAAATTGGCTGCGACCAGGGCCAGGGCTTTCTCGGTGGCGGCTCCTACCTGGTGGAATGAGCTCCCAGGGGAGATCCAGGCCCTGCGGGACCTTGGGCAGTTCCGCAGGGCCTGCAAGACGGAGCTCTTCCACCAGGCTTTTGAGTAGGAGCCGCCGCCCCACTATACCACCATCGTCATGGTTCCTTAAAGGATGTACCGACGAGGCCCTGAGGAAGAACCTGGACAACGTAAAGAAGATCCAATAAGCTATCGCCATTGGGCATAAATATCATGGGGGTACCACCTAGAACTGTGTTGATTCTGTCCTGGACGTATGAGATCGGTAATTGACTGAGCACTATTGTTTTAAGTGTTGGATGTTTTAATTATGTTTTATATGTTTTTAATTATGGCACGGCTAATTACCCTGCCCTTGTTAGCCGCCCTGAGCCCACTGGGGAGGGCGGGATATAAATGTGAAAAACAAACAAACAAATAAATAAATATAACAACAGACTTCTGAAAGGGCTTCTTCCCCTGTATTCCCAGACTATAGGACCATTGCCTGCTGAACTCTGCAGAACCTTTTTAAACACTGCTCTCTAAACACTGACATCCGGAACTCAGTTTCAAAACCCTACCTCACGGGGCTGTTGTGACGATAAAATGGAGGAGCGGAGGACGAGGTAAGTCGCTTTACATTCCCACTGGGGAGAAAGGCAAGGCATAACTGAGGAAGCAGAAGACGAAGAGATTGGATTTATACCCCACCCTTCACCACCTGAAGGAGTCTCGGAGCGGCTCACAATCGCCTTCCTTTCCTCTCCCCACGACAGACACCCTGTGAGGTAGGTGGAGCTGAGAGAGCTCTTTCGAGGACTGCCCCTGAGAGAACAGCTCTGAGAGAACTTGTGACTGACCCAAGGACACACCAACAGCTGCGTGTGGAGGAGTGGGGAATCAAACCCGGTCCTCCCAGATTAGAGTTCAGGTATAACTGAAGAAGCAGAAGATGAAGAGATTGGATTTATACCCCACCCTTCGCCACCTGAAGGAGTCTCGGAGCGGCTCACAATCTCCTTCCTTTCCTCTCCCCACGACAGACACCCTGCTGTGAGGTAGGTGGGGCTGACAGAGCTCTTTCGAGGACTGCCCCTGAGAGAACAGCTCTGAGAGAACTTGTGACCGACCCAAGGTCACGCCAGCAGCTGCATGTGGAGGAGTGGGGAATCAAACCCGGTCCCTCCCAGATTAGAGTCCGCGCTCCTAACCGCTACACCAAACCGAAGTAAATAAATAATTAACAAAAATAAAAACCCCTTTCAAAAAGCAGGGCATTTCTTTTCTAAAGGAATGAGAGGACATAAACAAATAGCTGGCAGGAGACTCAGGGTCTCAAATGCAGGGCGCTGAACACCATAAATGAAGTTTTAAAATACAAGTCTCAGCTCCGCCAAGATTCGACATTTTACCCCCGGTGGTAATGCAGAAGGTGGCTGATCCTTAGAAAGAAGTTTAAACTTGTCACACGCAAATGTCAAACCTTGGGGAAAACTCCCCCCTCACTACAGTTGCCAACTCTGGGTTGAGAAATACCAGGAGATTTTTTTTGGGGGGGTGGAGTCTAGAAAGCGACCTTGGCGGGATAGAATGCTACAGACTCCAGTTGCCAGAGCTACCATTTTTCTCCAGGGGAACTGAATTCTGTCATCCGGAGAGCAGTTGTAACACCGGGAGATCACCAGACCCCACCTGGAGGTTGGCAGCCCCAGAACACTACATTCTTTAGCCGTGCCTTAGACTGCAACGGTCTTTCTTATGCCGGGCCCCAACTAAATAGTCCTACGTCACGAGCTTTCTTCAACAAATCTTTTGCTGTACCCTGAAGCTTCAGGATTAAGGGCTCTCTGTTTAGAGACTGGTTTTGGCTTCGCACTAAAAACTCTCCCCATTTCCACCGCCACAATTCAGGCAACAAAGGATTAAGAGACTTCCTGAAGGGGTTCTGAAATTTACAACATTGAGTCGGCCTTCACCCTGAACAAAAATGCAGATAACTCCCTACACAAATGTACTCCCAAACTGATAACCTTGGTTTACCGTTCTTGCATCTCCCTTCGCATCTGCGTTGCCTCAGCGACTGTCATTTCTTATCTCCCATCGAGAAGATATGGCGTTCGGGCTTCCCAGCACAAAGAGACAGATGGCTCCGTTTTAACCTTTTCGATTTCTAACCTCCATTTGTATTTAAGATTGATTTCCCCCCCCCCTAGCAAAAATCCTTTCAAACTATCTGTAATGGCTTTGTGAGAGCCTTGTTCGGAGATGCATGATACCATGCTGCCTTGTCTGTTGGGATTTGGAGGTGGGCGAGAATTTATGTTTTATGAGGGGACTTTCCAATTAGCCTTAAACTGAAAGCGAAAACACTCACTTGGGATTGAAATAAACAGTGAAATAACTGAGAAACTTCCTGGAGAGCTCTGGGAAAACCATTTCCGTTTAAATAAGCTAGCAATTAGGGTTGCCAGCTCGGGGTGGGGAAATTCCTGCAGATTTGTGGGTTGAACCTAGGGTTTAGGGAGGGGTAAGACCTCAGCTGGGTGTAATATCACAGAGCCCACCCTCCAAAGCAGCCATTCTCTCCTGGGCAAGTGATCTCTGTAGCCTCCCCCACCTGGAGCCTAGTAACCCAAATTAGAGAGATCCCGTATGGGATAGTGGTTGCAGTGCTGAATTTGGACCATGGAGATCCGGGTTGCGCATCCCCTCTCAGCTCATGGAAGTCGAGCCAATCCCCCTCTCTCAGCCTCATCTACCTCACAGGAGAGCCAGTCTGCTGTCGTGGTTAGGAGCGCAGACTCTAATCTGGGAGAACTGGGTTTGATTCCCCACTCCTCCACATGCAGCTACTGGTGTGACCTTGGGTCAGTCACAAGTTCTCTCAGAGCTGTTCTCTCAAGGGCAGTCCTCGAAAGAGCTCTCTCAGCCCCACCTACCTCACAGCAGGGTGTCTGTTGTGGGGAGGGGAAGGGAAAGGAGATCGTAAGCTTCCCTGAGATTCCTTTCGGTAGTGAAGGGCAGGGTATAAATCCGATCTCTTCTTCTTCTCTCTTGTTGGGAGGAAAGGGGGGGGGCCTCAGCATCTCACATATGTTTCCCTGAGCTCTTTGGGGGAATGGAAAAAAATCTAATAAATGTACAAAGTAGTATACTATAACAATACATATACACATATAAAAGCAAGTCAGTTTAGAGCGAACACGGATAAGAACCTAGGATGAAATTGAGCAGACAGGCACAAGACCTGATTCTTGGGAGACTGTAAGAGCAGATTAGGTCCCTCTTTGGTTTCCTTACAGAAGTATGTAGCAAACCTTTCCCTTATCCAAACTAAATAAAAGCCCCTATAGTAGTTGGGCCGAATCGCCACGTCACCCCTGAACCTGGGTGACCTAGTCCAGTTTGGCATAGTGGTTAAGAGCGTGGACTCTAATCCGGGAGAACTGGGTTTGATCCCCCACTACTCCACATGCAGCTGCCGGGGTGACCTTGGGTCAGTCACAAGTTCTTTCAGAGCTGTTCTCTCAAGAGCAGTCCTCAAAAGAGCTCTCTCAGCCCCACCGACCTCACCGGGTGTCTGTTGTGGGGAGGGGAAGGGAAAGAAGTTTGTCAGCCGCTCTGACACTCCGTCGGGTATTGACGTGCGGGGTAGAAATCCAATCGTCTTCTTCTTCCTCACCAAGACATGTCCCACATCTGTATATGTACAGCGCCTCCATTCCATGTGTTTCCCCCCACCCCAGCCCCACCGTAACCCCTCCGACCACAACCACAAGGCCTTTGGGTCATAATTCAGAGTCACCGTTGCTTCCCCCACCTCACCCACCACCACGCCGCACTGACCGGGCGCCGGCACTGGACGCAGAAGCTTTTGCGGCACTGTGGACATTTCACCTCCAGCTGTTCAGACTCGTAGATGAATCCGAAGGAACACTGGAGAGGAGAGGGAGACCAGAACGACATTTTGGTTATCACAAAGCGCAGAACTCTGCTTTGGTTCTGAGATCCGATGAGATCTCAGCCTGGGCCATTAATTCAAAGGGTTGCCGTAAGTTGGAAGGAACTTGGCAGCAGATAATACTGTCCCCCCCCCCGGGGGGGCTTACTCACATGTGTGCACCACTGAAACTTGGGGTCTCTCATGAGCACCCTCTCGGTCAGTTTCTTGTGGAAGAGTTCGTAGGTTTCCGTGTCCAGGCAGCTGCGTAGCTGGGGAAAGAATCAGAAACCAGGAGCAGGATATGAGACTGGCGGTTCTCAGCTTTCTGGGGGTTTTTTTAAGCACAGAAAGAAGGAGGGGACCAATTGGTCACTCTGTCCCCACCAAAGGCAGGACAGGAAACAAATGGCTTTAGGCAGGAAGGTACGTTCTAGAAAAGGGCTCCCTCGTCTTTTTGAGCCTGCGGTCATCTTAGGAATCCTGACGGGCTGGAAGGGCGCAGCCACAAAATGGCTGCCAAAAAATGGTTCCCCCAAGAGGTGAAACCAGCCACAAAATGGCTGCCAAAAAATAGTTCCCACAGGTGAAACCAGCCACAAAATGGCTGCCAAAAAATGGTTCCCACAGGAGGTGAAACCAGCCACAAAATGGCTGCCAAAAATGGTTCTCCCAAGAGGTGAAACCAACCACAAAATGGCTGCCAAAAAAATGGTCCCCACAGGAGGGGAAACCAGCCACAAAATGGCTGCCGTGGCTTACCTTCAATCACGCAGTGAAGGTCCTTGTGCGGCGATGGCAGCTGCTGCCAAAGCAACTTTCTAAAAGAACCGCACAGCCAACCAAATCGCCAGTGGCCAATCAGAAGCCTTGTGGGGCAAAAGCCCCATCTGCCCCAACCACTTTCTCAAAACACTTGCTAGAACATCAGAAACAGTGTCAGTGGGTACCACATTGGGGGTCCCTGCTCTAGATTAAAGCAGGAAAGGAAACTATGAAGAGAAGCGCCACCGGGGCTTTTTTGGTAGAAAAAGCCCAGCAGGAACTCATTAGCATAACAGGCCACACCCATGACAGCACAGCTCATTAGCCTATTAGGCCACACCCCCATGTTACCAGAAGTGTGGTGTTCCAGCCACACCCACCTTTTGCTTCTTATTCTGTTTACCTTGTTTGTGGTCAAAACCCAGGGCCTTTTTTTGTAGCAAAAACTCCTTTGCATGTTAGGCCACACACCCCTAATGTAGCCAATCCTAATGAGTTTCTGCTGTTGGGTGTGGCCTGTTATGCTAATGCGTTCCTGCTGGGCGTGGCCAACTTAGGAGCTAGCCGGAACTCCATTCCTGTGCGGTCCTCCCCAAAAATAGCCCTGAGCCCCACAATGGGGCAACATCAGGCAAAGGGAACCAAATCCAATTATGTCATGTGAGAATGGCACAGAATTCCTCTTTACTTGGCTTTCTCTCAGTGGTGGGCGGCAGCATCTTGGCAAGGTGCAGAGGTTACTCCGGCAATATCCATGAGTACTGCAATTGCTCAGAAGCCAGGGCACCGATGCCTCCTCAAAGAGGACCAGGAACAAAAAAGGGTGCTCACGGTGGAATGAGTACAAAAGCAATAGAAGACACTGTGTATAAACATACAATATATGCAAATAATGTTTAACAAAATATATATTGTGTGTAATGTATTAAATAAGTGTAATCATATCTTTGGTATTTATATATAAGCAATCAGATGCATCATCCCTTTTAACCCTTTCCTTTGTCACTGTTTGTCCACTCAACAACAACAAATTTATTCGCTGTGAAAAGCCAGCACTCTAATACAACAAACTAACTCAAACTAAATTCATACAACCACAAGCACAAATGAAAGATATAAAATGAATATCAAATAGAGCAGGCATGTAAAACCTGTTAAGTCCTGTAACAAAGAGGCATAAACAAAGTTAACAAGGAATAGAAGAGGAGGAGATTGGATTTATATCCCGCCCTTCACTTGGAGTCTCAGAGTGGCTCACAAACTCCTTCTCCTTTCCCTCCCCACAACAGACACCCTGTGAAGTGGGTGGGGCTGAGAGAGCTCTGACAGAAACTGCCATTTCAAGGACAGCTCTTGTCAGAACTACTGGAAGCCAAAATGAGAGATCACAGGAAGAGGCGGAACTCCAAAAACAACATTTGTGATAAAAATAACCAAGAGTCAATAAAGATAAGTTGCAAAAACATTTACTGAAGTATTTCTGTAGTTCTGTTTTTTTTAAATCACAGATATTGTTTTTGGGAGTTCTTCCTTGTCAGAACTGTGGCTTGCCCAAGGTCATCCAGCCAGGTGCAAGTGGAGGAGTGGGGAATCAAACCCAGTTCTCCCAGATTAGAGTCCGCACACTTAACCACTACACCAAACTGGCTCAGTCCGGGGGAACAGTCCGAATATTCTCCTATCTAAATAGCTAGCTTCTGTGCAATGTGATCCAAAAGTAGTATTTTATCTCAGAGCTTGCTGCTATAGAAGAGATGATTCAACAGTCCCACCACTGTAGGGCAAATAATCCTCACTGCCAGACAAACGATCCGACAACTTCCCAATTGACAAGCCGTTTCCAGCCTTCTTTCTCAAGAATCGCTCAATATATTGTGTACATCATTCATCGGAACCAATCTCTATTCTCTTAACCAAACATTCTCACTTTTCCCATGGGAATAATCCCCTTATAACCCTTGTTACTTTGATTATGCATCTGATTGCTTATATATGAATGTAAATACCTAATAGAAAAAGAAGAGATTGGATTTATACCCCGCCCTTCACTCGGAGTCTCAGAGCGGCTTACAAACTCCTTTCCCTTCCTCTCCCCACAACAGACACCCTGTGAGGTAGGTGGGGCTGAGAGAGCTCTGACAGAAACTCCTCTTCAAGAACAGCTCCAACAGAGCTGTGGCTTGCCCAAGGTCATCCAGCAGCTGCAAGTGGAGGAGTGGGAAATCAAACCCGGTTCTCCCAGATTAGAGTCCGCACACTTAACCACTACACCAAACTGGCTCTACACCAAACTGATATATGATTATACTTATTTAATACATTACACACAATATATATTTTTATTAAACATTATCTGCATATATTGTATGTTTATACACGGTGTTTTCAATTGTTTTTGTCCTCAAAGAGGACACCATACGCTTCTTCCCTCCCTGCTTTATCTTAGGGGAAAAGGATGTCAAAAGGTCCGTTAAACCGAAGTCGGGGTTCCCTTTAACTCGGTCTGTGAGTCCAGAATAACAGTGGCATTAGCAGGAGACCTAGGAATTTGGGGTGAAGGTTTTCAGCTTTCTGAAATGCCAGACTGGGGGTGCAGCCAGGCGGGCACCTGGATGTCGAGGGTGGAGAAGTAGCTGAGGAGTTCCCGTTCATCGCTGATCTCTGGCTCGGAGCAAGCCGGACACACCAAGTCCGTGATGTGCTTCTCTTTCACCGCGATGGTGAAGTGCTGGGCAAAGCATTCGGGGCAGATCGTACATTCACACGACGTCAGCGACTGCATCTGCCGAAGGGGGGGAAATCAGTGGCCATCAAAGGGAGCAAGGGCCAACCTAAGCAGTAGTTTGATTTGTCTGTTTATTTATTTAATGCATTCGTACAGTACACCACCTTTCCACCTGCTAAGAGAAGAAGAAGAAGAAGAGATTGGATTTATACCCCGCCCTTCACTCGGAGTCTCAGAGCGGCTTACAAACTCCTTTCCCTTCTCCTCCCCACAACAGACACCCTGTGAGGTAAAAGAAGAAGAAGAAGAGATTGGATTTATACCCTGCCCTTCACTACCCAAGGGAGTCTCAGAGCGGCTTACAAACTCCTTTCCCTTCCCCCCCCCCCCCCAACAGACCCCCACTGGGTGAGGCTAAGTCTGACAGAAACTGCTCTTTTTCAAGGACAGCTCTGACGGAACTATGGCTTGCCCAAGGTCATCCAGCAGGTGCAAGTGGAGGAGTGGGGAATCAAACCCGGTTCTCCCAGAGTCGAGTCCGCGCACTTAACCACTACACCGAAAGGCAGGGTGAACCGGCCCAGGTCGGAGACGGAGCAGGCCAAAACTCCCGTGCCGATCAGTAGTGGGACCGCGCCTGTGGGACGGGGCTTGGGGGCGTTGGCCTGGCAACCCTCACACACCCCCCCGTGGGCTACCTTGTTGCGCGGCAGGGCCCAGCTACAGACGGCGCACTCCCAGCTCAGCAGGCGCTTGATGAAGTCCCGGCTGGGAGAGGCCTTCACGGCCTCCACGATGTCCGCCAGCTCCCAGCCCCCTTCGCTCGGCCTCTCCAGCATCAGCGACACGACCAGCTCCGCCCGGCCCCAGCTGGGCAAGGAAAGGGATGCCAGGAGGCGGCGCAGAAGGGCCTGGGAGGAGGGAAGCAAGAGAGCGGTGGGCACGAGCCACAGAAGGACGACAACGCCCCCTCCCCGCCTCCCGGGTCTCCCCCTCACCTGCCGGTCAGGGCTGTGGAAGTCGATCGGGGGCTCTTCGCTCTCCCACAAGCGCTGGTGGAAGGGCTCCAGGCGCTGGCGCTGCAGCTGCACCAGCGCTTGCCACACGTCGCCTTTGTTCTGGTAGAGGGCCTGCAGCACCGGGCCCCGCTCCGCAAAGCCCAGCGCTTTCAGCTCCCGGACCTGCTCGGGAGAAGGGAAGTCAGGGGGAGAGAGCCGGCACGCCGAGCATAAGGAGCAGGGTTGCCAACTCCACATGGGGAGTTCCTGGAGATTTGGGGGTGAAGCCAGGGAAGGGGAGGGACCTCAGGGTGGTATAATGCCACAGACACCCCGTCCTCTCGCAAGACAAGGACTCCTGGCGGGCACTCCATGGAATTGCCAAGCGGTCGGGTCAGAACGGATAAACGGAAGTACGTTTAACACATGGAGTTCACTGCCACAGGAGGTGGCGGCAGCTACAAGCATGGACGGCTTCAAGAGGGGATTGGATAAGCATATGGAGCAGAGATCCATCAGTGGCTATTAGCCACAAGGTATAGATAGGAACTCTCCGTCTGGGGCCAGTGATGCTCTGTCTTCTTGGTGCTTGGGAGGGCAACAGTGGGAGGGCTTCCAGTGTCCTGGCCCCACTGCTGGACCTCCTGATGGCACCTGGTATTTCTGGCCACTGTGTGACACAGAGTGTTGGACTGGATGGGCCTTTGGCCTGATCCAACATTAGCGTCTCTTATGTTCTTATGTCCAAAGCAGCCATTTTCTCCAGGGGAATGGACTCCCATTGTCTGGAGATCAGTTGTGATTCTGGGAGATCTCCAGGCCCCACCTGGAGGCTGGCAACCACACAGAGCCCAGCCTGACCTACAAATCAGGGCTTCCTTCCATTGGAAGCCACATTCTCCAGCACAGAGACACCATCTCCTAAGCTTAGCTGTAGCTACTCACCAATAATAATAATACAAAGGCATTCTACACGCACTCAGAGGCTATTGTTCTGCGTATTCCACAGCACAGCCCTGCCTCAAATTAAGCCTGATCTCAAGCCCATCTCTCCAACACCGGCATCCCTTTTGCCTCAAACAATTGGCTCCCTCCGAAGAACAAAATCCACATAATATACTGCATTGGAGCCATAATATATTTCATTGAACCAAACAAATTAGCATGAAACGCCAGGTCAGCTTTTGAGTCCGCCAGAACTCTTCGTCCGGTTGGATATTACGGAACTTTTTAAAGACGGAAGGGTGGTTAGCCGAATTCTTTGACCATGATGTGAAGGTCTGATTTTGCCGACTTTCTCAGTGAGATGCCAGCTTAATTTGGTTACTGCGGTACAGGGTTCCAGCATGTTCTCTAAGAAGCGTCGTCCAGTCATTGAGCTCAAAATCTTGCAGTTTTTTGTGCTAATCTGGCCGGTCCAATAAAAGGTGTTACGTAGATTTTGTTCTTGTTTTGGGTGATTTTTGCATGGACCAAAATGGCTGTGCAACCTTTTCCCTCCTATGGTCAGCTTCCCCCAGATAAATACACTGCCCCCTACAAATCCCCCCTACTCCTAACATGCTCTGCCCCCACTCTTCCACCAGTGGCTTCGTAAGCACCATCCGTTTCTCCAAGCCCACCCTTCCTAGCATCCCAGAAGGGAAGCCCCACCCACTGCACAGGCTCCTCCCACCCTTCTGCTAGTTGCTTCCCAAGCCCCTCCTCTTCCTCCGGTTCCTTCACAGGCCCCTCCCACTCTGCCCCTAACTTCATCCCTCAGAACCTCTCCCCGTTTTCCTTAAAACCCTTTCCTCCAGAGTCCGTCTTTAGCGGCCATCTTCCTCGAGAGGGCCATTCATTTGCTTGAGACCCCTCCCACCATACCACTTGAGCACCGCCTTGGGCTGACCTTGCTACGGCGAGCGGCGAGGCATCGGCTGACGGCTTCGTCCGTATCCCCCCGGCTCTCCATCCAGGCCGTCTTGGCTTCCTGGTAGGTCACGGCGCCCAGGCCGCCCCCCGGTTCCTCCTCCGCTCGCTGCGTGGCCGTCTCCGCCACCTCCTCCAGGACCCCGTGGAGCTCTGAATTCAGCCAGGCCAGAGGGATCTCCGTCCCCGAGTAGTGCACGGCGGCAGCCACCAGCTCAGGGACCACGCCCACCGCTTCCGCTTCCTGTGGGGGGAAAGACAGGAAGTGAGACTCCGGCGCAATGGTGGCAGAGTGGGTGTGGCCTAAAGACAGGAAGTGGAGGGTCACTGAAGAAGAAGAGAGAAGAGATTGGTTTTATACCCCGCCCTTCAGTACCCAAAGAAGTCTCAGTGCAGCTTACAATCTCCCTTCCCCTCCCCACAACAGACACCCTGCGAGGGAGGTGGGGCTGAGAGAGCTCTCCCAAAAACTGCCCTTGGAAGAACCGCTCAAAACTTGTAACTGACCCAAGGTCGCACCAGCAGCTGCATGTGGAGGAGTGGGGAATCAAGCCCGGTTCTCTCGGATTACGGTCTGCGCTCTTAACCACTACACCAAACTGTCTCTCTGAAAAGGTGGGACAAGGGCCAATAAAATTCCCGGGGGCCCGTGTGGTGAAGACCATCACTGTCACTGTGCGGCAGGGCGGTCCCACCCTGTCGAAGGCCTACTTAACCACCCTGTCAGTGTGAGGGTACTTTCTCCCCAGATATCCCCAGCCAGCCCAGTCAAGAAGTCAGGGCAAAAAGTCTTTTCTTGCCCTCCTTTTCCCAAGAGTTGCCACCACCCCGGGTAAAATCAGCCCCTCTACTTCCTCGGGGTGTCGCCCAAGGCTCACGCCAGAGAAGTGCATTACTTTAGCATGTCAAGTAGCCAATGCAGGTGGGAAAGGGAGTGTGCAGCCTCTCTGAGTTCAACAACTTCATTTCTTCCATCTAATTCCATCTAATTAGGACTAAATTATTCCATCTCTTGGCCTCCTCTGCCGTCCTTCACTACCTGAAGGAATCTCAGAGCGGCTTACAAACCCCTTTCCTTTCCCCTCCCCACAACAGACACCCTGTGAGGTAGGCGGGGCTGAGAGAGCTCTTGACAGAAACGGCTCTTTATCAAGAACAGCTCTTATCAGAACTACGGCTTGCCCAAGGCCATCCAGCCAGGTGCAAGTGGAGGAATGGGGAATCAAACCCAGTCCTCCCAGATTAGAGTCCGTGCAATTCACCACCATACCAGGAGGAGGAGATTGGATTGATACCCCGCCCTTCACTACCTGAAGGAATCTCAGAGCGGCTTACAAACCCCTTTCCTTTCCCCTCCCCACAACAGACACCCTGTGAGGTAGGCGGGGCTGAGAGAGCTCTTGACAGAAACGGCTCTTTATCAAGAACAGCTCTTATCAGAACTACGGCTTGCCCAAGGCCATCCAGCCAGGTGCAAGTGGAGGAATGGGGAATCAAACCCAGTCCTCCCAGATTAGAGTCCGTGCAATTCACCACCATACCAGGAGGAGGAGATTGGATTTACACCCCACCCTTCACTACCTGAAGGAATCTCAGAGCGGCTTACAAACCCCTTTCCTTTCCCCTCCCCACAACAGACACCCTGTGAGGTAGGAGGGGCTGAGAGAGCTCTTGACAGAAACGGCTCTTTTTCAAGGACAGCTCTTGTCAGAACCATGGCTTGCCCAAGGTCATCCAGCAGCTGCGAGTGGAGGAGTGGGGAATCAAACCCTGTTCTCCCAGGTTAGAGTCCGCGCACCTAACCACGACACCAAACTGGCAGAAGGGTTTTAATTCATACTGTGAAACGTTTTTAACTTGTGTTGTCATCCGCTCTGTGCCCGTTCGCGAGGAGGGCGGAATAGAAGCCAAAATAAATAAATTTCTACAAGGCACACGCTCGGGGCAGGGGCAGACATAAGCGGCAATTACAGGTTTAACTCCAACCCCCCACCCTAACTTTACTTCCTGGTTGTCAGAAAGTCTCTTCCCCTGACCAGCCGGTCTGTCCTTCCTCTCTGGGTTCTTCTTCCATGATTCCCCTCTTATAGAAAGCTTTCAGTCTGTTCACATGATGGGAGGTGTGGCCGGACATCTAGATCTGAACCCGAAACTGGAGACTTCAACTCCCCCGCCCTCTGATTCACTGTAAACGCCACCTTCCACTGTAAACGCCACTGTAAAAGTCCTATCTCTTCCTTAGACTCGTGCAAGCGTGCGCTCTTATCATGCCATACCTTCTGTGCGCCCTGGGCTCGAGCAGAATTCTCAGGAGCCAAAGGCAGCGTCACCCTGAGCGAGTTCTGCAGTTTGTCCACACAGTCCACGATGGACGTGGGCTGGACTGCGTTGCTGACACCCCTTCCCACCGAACCCCAGCCACTTCCAGTGGTCTTCTAACCTGCTGCCCGTTTGTTGTTGTTGTTCAGTCGCACAGTCGAGTCCGACTCCTCGCGACCCCATGGACCAGATCACGCCAGGCCTTCCTGTCTTCCACCGTCCTCTGAAGTTTGCTCACTGTCTAACCATCTCATCCTTTGCCGTCCCCGTCTTCTTTGACCTTCAATCTTTCCCAGCATCAGGGCCCGTACATCAGCTCAAATCGACTGAGCCCCTAACCAATGCTCCCTCTAAGCCATGGAGTCTTGTGAGCAAAAATTCTACTTTGTGAGTGGCTGGCATTAAAGTTGTGAGTGAGCGATTTGACTACTGCATACACTAGCTTGCTCCGGAGCCTTCCTCCCTGAGCTGAGACAAAAATCTCTCAGCTGGAGGCTAAAAAACTCTGAGCTAGCTCACACTAACTCAGCTTAGACGGAACACTGCCCCTAACTCAGGGGTCATTTCGTAGAAAAAGAGGTGCAGGAGCTCATTCGCATAACTAATTAGCATAACTTATTTGCATATGCCACACCCCCTGGCATCACCGGAAGTGTGTCAGAAGGCAACACCCACCGCTCAGGCTCCACTGGACTGTTTTGGATTGCTAGTTTATGGGGGGGGGACATGCAGATCTGTCATCACAGAGGAGGGAGAGCTTGTACCTGAACAAAACGTAGTCCTAAAGGTGCCACTGGACTGTTTTGGACCGAGGGGCTGGAGGGAGCTCTGCAGCTTACCTGGCTGCTTCTTGCCCTGACTGAGGGCTGCTGGGAGCAGGGGGTGGGGCTTGTTGCATGTGCCCGCCCCCTGGGCTCTTTACTGCTGGAGCTCCGCTCCTGTGCGCTCCTGCAGGAAATGACCACTGCCCTAACTACTTTGCTACACACGCACCCTGCGTACACACACACCAGCTGCTGCAGTTTCTTGACCTGGTCACGGGGATTATCTGCTACACATTTCTTAACCTTTGCCCCCAAGGTAGGACTGAACTGTTCCGTTGCGCCGTTAGATTCATGATCATAAGATGCAGGGGTGAGGTGCTCGACCCCCTCAATGGTCCCGAAGTTCCCTAAACGTGCTGGGGAGGAACGTGGTCCCCACATCTGTGAGGACCTCCCTCTGGAGCTCCTAGCCTGGCAAAGGTTGGAAGGAGGACCTCTACCGCAGAGGCTGCATCAATTCTGGACAAAGGCTGGGGCTTAAGAGAATCACACTGCCTGATCCACCAGGACAGGAAAAGAACGGATTCCCCCTCTGGGCGGACGTCCTAAACAGACCATTAATATCCATTTCAACAAGTTTTTTCCCCCCGTATTGAACCGAAGGCTCATGAATACATATCTTCTGTACACAAATATGGTAACATTATCCTTAATTCCTGTAGTGTGTTTTTCACATGTATGTTGCACCATTATTGTTATTATTTATTTTCCTTGTTTAGCTACTTCACTGTATATATGTTTTAATATTATACTTATTATTATTATTATTATAATACTTATACT